CCTGTTTTTCATAAGCTGTATCAGTCTGCCTCAGTGCGGCCCGGGGCCTAAGATGTGACGTGTTAGGGAGAGGAGTAGAGAGAAAGATACCCATCCCCACATGAGGACCGGGATTTGACTGGAAGCAAGAAAACAGCTGGGAAAATTTCTAGGGCTGAGAGGAGCAGGTGGCCATGGAGGAACGGGAGGATATGTCTGCCCCACTGTTGTCGCAACCTAACATGAGGTCTCCAGACCACCTGGTCCACGAAAGGCTTTGAGAGTCTGGACAGAGAGAAACAACTGTGCAGAAAACCAGTTTCTCTCCTGACCTCTGCTGCAGTGTCTGCCCCTGGTGCCAGAGGGACCCACAAGGATAGGGGTGGTGCTCTGGAACCAGCCTGAAGTAATGAAGTTCTCACTGAGGACACAAAAGTGAGGTGTCCTTGGAAGGTTTGTGGGTGACCAACCAGGGAAAAGAAACTCATGGCAGAAGATATCAAGAGACTAGGTGCTCGGTGGTCCTTCCTGAGGACCCCCAGGAGGAAGATGGGAGGTTTGCGAGGCAGGGCTGTGGCCCCTGGACAGCAGGGGAGTCAGAAGTATGGTGACTGGACCTCCCTGTTAAAGGGACAGTTGTAGGGCTTGGGACACACCTGTGTTCTCCTCAACATCTTATGAATGCAGGTAAAGATGAGACATTTCCCACATAGATTGCCAGCCTTGCTGCTGAAGGTAAAGATTTCATGGGAGGAACTGTCAGGTGGAAAGGATGTCCTGGGCAAACTCCATACGGGTTTTGCGGGCGCCACCCCCACTCCAGACCAAAGCCATCAAGACACCAGGAACTATAAATCCCATCATCACTGAAGGGAGGGTTGCTGGGACCTGAGGGTGGAGTTTCGCAGCCAAGTTGGCCTGACTCTTGGCTTTTCGCCAGCTTTCAGCTGCCAGTGGGATTCCAGTTGGGCAGAACTGGTAGGACACGTTCACGAATTATCTTCCTCTTTTGCTCCCTGAGTTATTCATTTCTTCATTTCCCCTTCTTTCATAAATAAACCCTTTGTTAACCTTTTTGTGTGTGCCTGCAGCTGAGTCTTATTATAAGTCCCTTTTAAGGTGAGGACGGTGAGACCCACAGCCAACCACAGGCAACCCATTTCATGTTGGGGTTCCCCTGTAACAGAACCACTTTTTTCAGGTCTTTTCACTCCAGCACTCTAGGCACTATTAGAAACATTCAACTTCAAATGAACATCAAGTGTTTCATCTCTACACCGATGCATGCCTTTGCTCTCTCTCTCTCTCTCTCTCTCTCTCTCTCTGCCCCCACTCCACACACTTTTCCTTCGCAGGTTTTCTTTTTCCTTTTCTTATTCATTTATTTTTTATTTTCTCATATCATTCATTTTTGTACAATATTTGATTTCTCCCCTCAAGTGTAGTCCCAATAATTCTCCCCCGACCCCCCGCGGCACCTGTGACCCATCAGCATCGTCTCAGGGCTCTCCCCTCCCGTTTTCTCTACCAATGAAAATGAAAATTGCCTACACGCCCTTTGACTTGGCTAGAAAACAGCATTACCGATGACAGCGCCTGTGGCTCTTGGGTTGGCATCAAGGGTTTTTCACCCTGTCCTGGAGGGAGGATAAAGAGCCAGGCTGTTGGAAGAATGCAGATCCATGGCTGCCAGACTGTAGGGTAAGGTAAAAAGTGTCAGGCTTTTCTGCCCTCCCGCCATTCGGATAGATGAGGAAACCCTGCGGTCCTGAATGCATGCCTGATGGCGGGCACCTGAAGTGGGTACACCTGGGCTGAGAGACTGAGTTTATAAGGGCGGCATCACGGGGACGCCAGAAGCAACCAAGAATGAACGGAAACCGAGAGAAAGCCAGAGAGAGAGCCCAGATAGAGTGAGGGTTTGCTGGGGGCTGGGAGGCCTGCCCGCCTCCCAGCCCCCCAGCACCCCTGCCTGCTGTGTACCTGGTAAATCTAAATAAAAGACCTGCAAAAGCCACTGAGGACTCTGACTCCTCCTTTACCCGGTCTGCTGGATCAGAAAACCTGCTCAGTGCCCTGTCCTGCCGTTACACCGGGGAAGCACAGCAGCCACAGTCAGAAAAGTGCCGCATCTCCGTCTCTCCCACCCCCATCTCCATCTCTCCCTCCCCTCACCCGTTTCTCACTGTGACATTTGTCTCTGTCCTTCAGCCTGAAACTTTAAATATGTTGCTGACCTCAGAGGAGAGTTAAAGTGCTTGTCTTCATCCTGTTCCCATCCGTAAGTTTAAGGTTAACTTAAGGTACTCAGAAGGGATATTCCACTCGCTTTCCTTCTGGGAAATCAGCTGTATTTCCAAGGCCAAATTCCTGGCTTTGCATTTCTGGTAAATCTTTTAAAAGTTCATGATTTTGAAACAAAGACTTGCATTAGTCAGCTAGGTGTACCTCTTCACATCAACATATAAGATTCTTTCCCCTCCTTCTATTAAAAGGAGGGTGGGGGAGCTTTATCTTTTCATAAGATCTCAACAACTTGAATTTACATTGTTTTAAATTGTAAATTCGTTAAAGCAGGGAAGAGTTGAAATTTCGTGGTCTCAAAAGAATTTAAACAGCTCAACAGTGCCCCCTGGTGGTGGTAAGCCCAGACACAGTGTACTTAAGCTAGTAGGGCTATACTTAAGCTACAAAACACAGAAGTGTCTCAAGAGGGGGCTCACTGCCCCAGCTCAAAAAAACAAGAAATTCTAATTTGAATCTGCAATACAAGCCACTCAAACACAACAAGAACTGAAGATCAGGAGACCGAATAACTGTACATTTGGATAAGTCAACACAGACAGGAATGCTCAACTTGAACATTACTCTCTTTTGCAGCTCCAAATTCAGTGAATTCTTTTTGAGCTAGAGTCTTTCTTAACTAACCAGGCATCTCCTCATTACCAATAGCATCCACCAGTCATTTGGGGGTTGCCCTGTTGTAGGGTAAGTGAATTGGTCAGGTTCATCACCTGCATCCTTGAATACAGAGGCTCTTGGGAGCAAAGGCATGGGGCACGCATGCCTGGTTGTGGACACCTGGAGTATGGCGTGGGCACCCATATGTGTGCACACCTGAGCCTAGAAGCTGAGGTTATAAGGGCAGTCACTCAGAGACAGAAGACAGCTAAGGCAGAACAGCTACAAGAGAGCACAAAAGAACACCAGAGAGAGCTGAAAGAGATAAAAGAGTCTCCGGGGGCTAGGAGGCTTGCCAGCCTACAGGCCTGCCCTATAACAATTGACTTAGAAAGAGCATTAAAGCCTGAAAAAGCCACTGATGGCTCCTGGACTCTCCTTTATCCATCTGCCCCAACTGACAGAGAACCTGCCCCATGTGGGCTTGGCACTACATCTGTGTAACCAGTCTTTACAAAAATATTCCTCATTGTGCCATGTGCTAGCATAGTCCATCCTTATTGGGGATTCAGTATAGAACCCACAGATGAAAATCTCTGTCTTTGAGGAGCTACTATCTTAGTAAGGTAGCAACAAAATGAACATGTACATTTTTAAAATAGAATTTCAAAAAGCAAGCTCTATGAAGAAATTCAAGTAGGGTGTGTGGATAGAGTGGTGGGGTGGAGGGGGGTTTATTTTTAGAAGGATGGGCAAAGATTCTCTAAGGTGAGAATAAGTGGATAAGTGGATAAGGACCAGGGTCTGGATGATTCTAAGATAAAGAAGCCATGTGGAGAAGTGTCCCGGGAAGAATAAGCAGTAAGTATGACCCATTTGAAGAACAGCAAAAAGGCCAGGGAGGCAGCTAATGCTTAGTGAGAAAGGGAGAGAGTGGGGGAGATGGAGTCAGTGAGGTAGACTAATATACCACAGTGAAGAGCTCAGATTCGATTCCATTCTAACATGAATGCAAATTCTTTGGAGAGTTCTGATCTGGGATGACATGTTCTTGTGTGCATTTTAAAAAGATTACTCTGACTCGTGAGTAAAGTTACAGTGAAGAGTAAGACATGGGGGGGTGTTATTTATAGCCAACTGTGAACGTAGGAGACCTGTTTCAAGAAGGACAGTGTCCTATGCTGTAAAGGAAATCAGGAAAGAACAAAATTGGCCAGTAGCTTTGGCAAGATGGAGATACTTATAGTTAAGCAGGTCTCCAGTTGGAGCCAGTTAAAGAGAGAACAGGAGGGAAGAATGTGGAAAGCCCACACAACAGGCCCTTCTTTCTAGGAGTTTACCATAAAGGGGCACTGGCAGAAGACAAAGTAGCTGGTGGGGATGTAGGATCAAAGGAAGTGTTTTTATTTTACTTTGTTTTTATTTTAAAAGGAGATATTGCAACATGCTTATACAGTGTGGTGACCCTTTCTGTGTTGGGGAAATGTGATGATTAGGCAAGAAGGGCTGGAGTCCAGTGCACCTGTTGGTAGTTGGGGTTGGAAGCGCAGGTAGCAATGGGAGATTTGGGAGTGACATGCCCTCACCTGCTTGCTTATTTCTTGGTGAAATAAGAAGCAAGAAGCGAATATGCTGAGTACTAGCTCAGAGAGGGAGAAAAGGGTATCACGGATTTGAAGATGAGAAAGTAAGTGGAAAATTAGTTTGCTAGGGGAGTGGAGTGGGATTGACAATCATCTTCCCCTGAGAGTAACCAACTCGTAAACCTGTGATTCTTCCGACAGAATCACAATTAAATACGTTACTGAAAGAAACAGTAATAGGAAAAAATTCTAAGTATGAAATGTTTAAATATTTCAAATACCCAAATTTCAACACTCATGAAGATACCACCCAATTCAATCAATGTTACTCCTTGTTGCGGGTATCTTTTTAAGAATAAAACATGACGGTCACAGCTGCAGAATCTTAGTAGTTACCAGTCTCCCATTCCACACCCTTCCTCTTTCTCTTAAAGTTCATTACATAATGATAGAAAGCAGCTGTGTTCCTCTTGATCCAGGTATATCTACTGCTCTACAGTGACTTCATTCATCCATACGCTGCTATTCACGATTTACCTGTTATTGGGGTTGTCAGGGAGATGACCACAGGGAATTCAGAAGACAGAGCCTGGATGCTGACACTGTAGTTGGTGCCTGGACGCAGGTCCAAGCACACCTCAGGAGTCTGGCTGCTGATAGTGACATTAAAGATCATTTCCTGGGCAAATTCCTTCTGATAACATCTCTGGCCCTGAATGTGGAACTGAAACATGGAAAGGTAAATTGCTAGCTTGAAAGGCTCTGAATGTCTGAATACTTGACTTGTCTTTTCTAACAAGCTCTCTTGCTCTCAACTATAAAGTTTCTTTAAAAAGTGAAATGCAAAAGTGAGCAAATACTAGAGTGGTAATGCCATAAATATTATTGTTACAATGTCAGGATAATAAATATATTCCTAAATAAAAATGTATGAAAGGCCAAAGCCCTCTTGCTGGCCACTTTCTCATTTTTGTGCTCACATACACCAGCACATGCCCAACACCGAAGTCTATTGGCAAAACTGCAAGACCAGGGCCAAAGAATTCTCCTACAAAGAAAACTGCAAATTGAAGCCTCTTCCAAAGCAGGATGTGAATTAGAATACTCTAAGGAACTGGGCTGGTAAAACCTAGGAAGGGTTGTTCTCCTCTGCCTACCCACTCCTGACACACCCTATGCTTTCCTGTAACACCCAGCTGCCAGGCCAATGCACACACCTTTTTTCTTACTTAACCAGTAGCAGTTCACCTTGTGATCTTTCCCTTTCTCACTCAACAAGCATATCTAGTTTCAAAGGTCCCCTTGACTCTGCAGACAATATATTCAGTGCCTGGACAGAAACAAACATGCACAGGCACCCCCGAACATCAACTCTGCACCAGGACAGGTCCAGGGAAACTCCCGGAGCTTTCCCATCAACCCCCAAGCACTCTGTCTTCAAATCTGCAGCAAAAGTGCCCATTTTCCTACTGCAATTGTCACTACAAATCTCCCATTGACAATGGCAGCTTCTAAGTAGATTTTTAGGTTTGCTGATATTTGTTAAACCTCCTACATGAGACACCTATAACTAGAATAAGTTTTAGCGACTTACTAAATACATCTCCTGTGTATCAGCGGTCTTCATACTTCTCCATTTCAAGCAGGTTTCATTAAATATTGAAATGTTACCAATGGTCTGTTTTACTGCAGGAAAAAAAGAATGAGAAATGAATTTCCGGCCTCTACAAAAATAATGCCTTTGAATTGTACCGTTTTCCAAAGATATACAATTATACAGGATGATTTCAGCAGTATTTTCATTTAGAAATTACCAGTAGCTGTCCAAGAAACTCCACTTTTATACGGATGTAAACTCAGTCCTAATGAAAAGCTAATATCCAATATCCAATCAGAGTATTCCTCTATGAAAATATTTAAATCTATTTACTGCAAATGTCTTTGGCTTACTCAGTTAAAGCTGCAACTCACTATTCTGGCCTCGGACAACCTCGTTTATACAAATAAGCACAGTGTGAAAGGCTGAGCTGAGAGCGGAGGGTTGGTAATTGCTCCGTGAGGAACTGAAAAGGGCTATCGCAAACAGTTCAGTTTTTCACAATGAGAAGCAGGAAGGGGTCCCTCTGGGTTTGGGCTTCCTCATCTATTATGATCAAAGAAGCATCTATGGCCTCTGTTCAACTTCATGGTAATCAATCCAAAAGACAGTTCAGATCTGGTGGTTTAGTATCGGGGCTTCTCCTCCAGGCTCATTAAAATAAGGACTACATGTTCAATACTAGGTATTCAAAACTCTATCAGAGTCACTACCTGCAACCCTGGCCCTTTTACCTAAACAGGAAATAAAACAAACTTGCCAAGAAGTTTCAGAGGAACACTCTGATGATGAATAAATGATAAAGACAACTCCCAAAGCAACTGAAGAAAGAAGGTCTCACGGAAGCCAAGCCTTCATTGTGTGAGCCCTGGCCTGACAGGTTCCTTTGAATGAAACCAGACTGGTAGACATGACCCCTCTCTATGAACCGGGCAGCTCTACACAGAGAAACCTGTTCCACAGGTCACAAGCTATACTTTAAATGTTGCAAAACAGAGCAGGTAAGAACTTAAGCAAAGGTGATTCAGGGTAACACAGCCTCACTATGGGATACATAAGATGATTACAGAGATTAGTATTGGGGGTCTAAAGAACCCCACATTTATGAAACTTCCAAAAACCAAGTAATTCTATTTGTATTCCATATTCTACCATACAGAAAGGTAGAAAGTTTTCCAATTCATCCACTATGATTAGGTAAGCCACAATGCACAAACTGGACAAGAATGGCACAACCAATCACTAAACACATGAAGTCAAACTCACAGAAATCCCAAATAAAATATTAGCAAGTAGAAATCAGCAGGGCGTTCAAACAATCCAGCCAAGGGACTTTTATTCCAGGAACGCAGAGATGATCATTATTGGAAAAACCATGAGTAGGTTAAGAGAGAAAAACTATATGGTTACTTTTATGATCATAATAGTTAGGACATTTAATATACATTTCCTGACTTTAAAATCTTAGGTAAACTAGGACTTAATTTGACAAAAATGTCTTAATTCAAAAGTGCTTATCAGAAGCCATCATACTGAGCAGTAAAACAATAAAAAATTTCTAGTAAAATTAAGAAAAATACAAGGATGCATGGTCTCATAGCTATTAGTTAGCCTTAGGAGATTCCAAGCCATGCAGAAAGAGGCAAGAAAAAAATGTGGGGGGGTGGGGGCAGCACACAGGGGAAGCATAAATATCAGAGAGGGCACAAATGAAGCAAATGCCAGTAAATCTGAGTGAATCAACTAAGAAAAAGATATGAAATTATTTTAATACAATAAAAAAATACAAATAGAGTTTCACAATGTGCAGCCAAATACATGAACAAAAACTAACATCTTCTCAACAGCTGCAAGAGTATGACAGACTGAAGAGTCCCCCCTAAAATGTGTACATCCTAGTACCTGGAGACTCTGACTATGGTACCTTACATGGTAGAAGGACTTTGCAATGTGATTAAGATAGGGAGATTATTCTGAATTATCCAGATGTCCCCAGTGAGATAACAAAGGCCTTATACAAGGGAGACATGAAGATCAGGGTTAGAGAAAATATAAGGATGAAAGCAGAAGTTAAATGGATGAACTTGAAAGACAGAGGAGGGGACAATGAGCCAAAAAATGCAGGCAGGCTCTAGGAACTGGAAAGGACCAGGAAGTGGATTCACCCTGAGGGCCCCCAAACCTACTGAAACAGATTTACACTTCTGATAGTAAATTCACATTTAAACCACTAAGTTTGCAGTAATTTGTCATTCCACCAATAGAAAATCAAAATAAATCACAAAATACAGTAGAAAAATTAAAACATTCCTATTCACAAGAGAAGAAACCACCACCATACTTCAAATATGCTGAAGCAAATCTAACTAGAAATGTTCAAGATTCAAGTGAAGCTTTTTTTTCTGAAGGATAAAATAGAAGACTATAAAGAGAGAAAGCCACATTCTTAAATAGAAAAACTCAAAAGTGAGAGGGTGTCAATTCTCTACTAATTAATCTATACATGGAACACACTTCAAATGACAATTCCAATAGACCTTCCTGGAAATTCATAAGTTCACATTTTCATTCAAGGAATCTTTAGAAATTTCTTAACATGTGCCAAACAAGCTTTAGGAGAAAGGATAAAATGGTGGGAAAATAAAGTCCCTGCGCCTAAGAAAATTCATCCTAGTTAGAAAAGCAGTAAATAAACAAGCAAACAATGAAACAAAATATATAATCTTGTGCTGCTGTAAAACATCTTATGAGGATAGAAAGGATGGTCAGGGCAAGCCATAAAAGTGATATGTGAGCAGAGACCTGAGATATGAATAAGTCACCAAGAATGGAGGAAGAGGGGTCAGTCAGAGGATCTCCAAGGTCAAATTTATAGTTAGAGGAATCAGTTCAGTACACTCAATGCACAGAAAGCAATTACTGCCAAATTCCTTTGGAAAAATTACAAGAATAGCAAGAAAAAGAAATTTGAAAGGAAAATATTGAAAGAAGACAGAACTAGTTATCAGTAACTACAATAAAGCTAGAACAGCATTTCTCCGACCTTTTTTATTACAGTCCTACAAGGAGCCTTTTAAAACATTTTACCCTAATTTCTCACCCTCTATAAAGTTGTTACCACAGATATGCTACAATATTTTATGTACTATATGTTTATCTATGCTTCATACATAAAAAGAAAAATAGTTTTCACCTCCTGAAAAACCAATTTTTGCCCCTTTGTGAGTAACATTGCCCTCCTAAGGACAATAACACCCCTAATGAGAATGCTAGAGTAATTAAACAGCCTGTTACTAGCAAAGGAATAAACAACTAGAACAATAGGACAGAGTAGAATCCACAAACTAAGCTAAGTACAGGGATTTCGAATTGGTGGGAAACAAACTGGGTTAGGAAATCACTATCCATATAAAGTAACGTTAGATTCCCACCTTCACATAACAGGCAAAAGTGATTCTAGCTCAGGTTTTTAGTTAAAAAATATGCTAGAATAGGGTACAAAACATAGTTCTATAATCTTGGGTAAGTAAGAAAAAACTACTGGAAAATATGTTTTAACTTGACTAAATGAAATCTTAAATTTTCTTTATGGCAAAAGATGTGACAAACAAGTTTGAAAGAAAAATAACAAAAAACAAATGTAACAAATTTGAACAAGTTTATGACTGAGCAAGAAATAGAAAAAGTGATTCATGGGAAAATGTAATTAGTTATAAATAATCAAGGGGTACAAATTTAAAAAAATAAAATATACTGTTCATTTGTTAGGCTTTCACACTTTATAAAATCATTATGTCCAGTGTTGGTGAATGTTTTGTGAAACAAGTACTCATCTACCATCTTTATTTTTCCATATAGTATCATTCAATGGGCCATACAAGTTTTGGTGAGGTAGTATGGCTTAAAAGCATGCTCTATTTTCTCCTAGATTTTCGGGCAACCCATTGACACCCCTTCTGACACTGGCATTTGCTTTTATACCTCCCTGTTCTGTTTCCACGGTTTTCTACATATACAGTAACTTTTTGTTTCAATATCAAATCATAGGGCAAACTTCTTTAAATAAGTTTTCATAGGCAATTAAACCTAAAATGCAAACTGTACCACCACTGTTCACAATTAAATAGAAGCAGCAACACTACTAGTAGCTGTGACCAACCTAATGTATATATAAGGGCAATGAAAATTACGTTCATGGCAGTCATCTGACAATAACAATTGTAAGATTCAAAAAATATTAAAATGTGGGGAGGAAGTGGATGTGAGAATCAATAAAATATAATATACACAAGTAGATTAACCATAATATTCTTTGTAATAACAAAAACTTGATGGGAAAAAAATACCCTAAGTATCCTTCCATAGTGGATAAGTTACAAATTACTTTGTCTTCACAGAGTGGATACTATGCTCCCCTTAAAAAGAGTAAGATTGCGTGGGAAAATGTTCACAGATCATTATAAAGCCAAAAACAAAATAAGAAAACAAGATGAAGAATGGTGTGTATATATACATATACAGATTCCATTTTTTTAGAAATGTATATACAAACATACATACACACAAACACACACACACATAAATACACACACAACACAACAGTATGGAAGGTCTACAACTTCTGTTCATGGGGAAAGCTAACTGGTTAAATTCAGTTCTGTCTCAATCAGAGAGCCACTCCCATTGTGGATTCCCTTCCTTCCATTCAAGGGGCTTAAAATTTGAATCCCAGGCAGGTTGAACCTACGATGAGTTCACTGGCGAGAAAAGGATCCTCAAGTAGAGAACAGCTCTTACTAGGTCCCCTCCTACCCTGCTCTATGATTCTTCGCTATAGACAGTACATGTCTTGTTTTTCATACAAATATTCCTTCTTTGGTTCATGATTAATGACCCTTTCTGTCTTATCTTTTTCTTTTTTCTCTACCCATCACACTAGTCTAACTTAGAATCCTGAAGTCAAAAAATTAGACCTGCAAGAATATCTTAAAGAAGAAAATATTTGGCTTTTAGTTCATCAAACTCTTTGAACATTTGTCCCTGCTTCACCAATGTGGGTCAGCTACTCTGGGAAAAAGCAATCATTACT